GTGAATAGCAGATCGAAGATACTCTCTTGCTGCTGAAGCCATTCAACTACAGCTTTGTGGCCCTCAACCCCAGTGAATGCCGGAGGATGCATGTTACAAAAATCGAGCATAGACTGGGTAATGGGATCTCTACCCGGCGCGTGCTGCTGAGGATGAGGTGGAGGCGGGGGAGGTGGTTGCTGCTGATTGCTACTGCGTGTTTGGCGAGCCATTATTCTACATTGAAAAATGGTCGAGGAATTTAGCACAATAATAAAAGAACTCTAGAGTTCAACACTAGAGTTCACATTTTAAAAAGTGGATAAGCCCTAACCCCGATTTCATTTAAATAATCAATGATCAAGCAATAAACAATCATCTCAAAATCATTCAGGTATTCATACCTGAGTTGGCGCGGCACGACGAGAGTGAGTGGTCATAAGTAACATATAATCACATAATTCACATTAACCAGTCTACAAAAACGCAGACTGGCTCTGATACCAAACTGTAACGCCCCACTTTTATTTACCAAATTTCCAGATAAATTTTTCGAAAATTTATTTTCAAAAACACTTGAGGCGCTACTCATTTTCGAAACAATATAAGATTCAACCAATCATCAATACTCAATACTCATTATTCATTTATCAATAATCAATAATCCAAAACTTAGTTCAACAATCAATACTCATAAAATCCCAGGGAAAACATTCTTTAAAAATAATCCAGAAATTGATCAAACAATAATAACAATATTTCAGTTTCAAGCGAAATCAGTAACAATTTATTATGACCATACTCGCTTCCCTCGGTCGTGCCCGCAACACTAAACTGTATCCATGACGAGCAGGTGGGGATGAGCACAAAAAGAAACAGTAGTGCTCACCACTATGCCATAAATGTTAATGTCAATAATCAATAGTAATCAATAATCAAAAGGTATGGTCTCAGCATGTATACGAAGCAATAAACTATCCCATCTCCTATCAATAATCAATAATAGTCTCATGTGCACACCTATAGCAATAGACTACTGCCGAGCTATATACTGAACGCCTTATCTAAGGCCTTACAATGAGTGCCCGGCCAGTAGGAGCAATAATCCACCCCGAATGCCAAAACTTATGTCTTGGTCTTACATATGAGGATCACCAGCCAAGGCTCACGCCCTGACTGCCAACAATAATAAAGAAGACTATCCGAAGGTATGTTCTATAGCTACGGGGACAACCGTCCGGTGGCCGATACAACTCACACCGAAGGCTACATGATTCACATGCATACTTTGATCAAACCGCAAATAAACAGTAATAACATTTAAGGCATAGTAATTTTTTTTAAATTAAACCCACCTGATAACTAATGATGTGATGATGTGAGGAAAAAGTGCAGGTGAAAGTAGTTCACGTCTCTCGGAACAACTCTCGAAATTCGACTACTTCAAATCTACGTTTTCATTATTTCTCTAATTATTAAAGGTAACGGCAAACAAACAAATAAGACAGATAAAAACATTCAAGCACATATTATTATTATTATTATTATTATTATTATTATTATTATTATTATTATTATTAAGGTTGTTGGAGTATCACTTATGAGTTGTCCCACATTGATTCTATAGGGAAAATGAGCCTAGTATATAAGCCAAGTGAGCTACTCCTCTCATCACCAATTGGTTTTGGGATGGAACCTCACTATGGTGCACCTAGGCTCACCCTCTTATGGTGCGCTTGATATGCATGGGACCGCACTCTCTTGCCCAGATTCTCTAATCTTACATGGTATCAGAGCCAGGCCGACTCCTGCCTGGGTTTTTATATCTACCCGGCCGACTTCGGCCAGGGTCCCTATCTCTACCCGTCCTGCTCTGGGCTTGGGCTTATGAAGGACTCACAAGTGAAAGGGCGTGTTGGAGTATCACTTGTGAGTTGTCTCACATTGATTCTATAGGGAAAATGAGCCTAGATATAAGCCAAGTGAGCTACTCCTCCCATCACCAATTGGTTTTGGGATGGAACCTCACTATGGTGCACCTAGGCTCACTCTCTTATGGTGCGCTTGATATGCGTGGGACCACACTCTCTTGCCTCGATTTTCTAATCTTACAAAGGCAATTAAGACAAGTAAAAAAATAAAGCACATATTATTATTATTATTATTATTATTATTATTATTATTGTTATTATTATTATTTTAAATAACTAACACATAACAGGAATAAGGCGTTTAAACTGAGATTAATGCTCTGAAAATAAACACAAAAATCAGACAGACAATTGTACATTACTCGGAACCAGATTATGAGTAATTTATCATAAGGGGGAGTAGTACGTGTAACATGCCAGTATGTGACTATATATTTTGTAAGACAACCAAATTTATTATAAAGCTAATTTTATATAACACAATATTGTTGTAACTAACTTTAGGCGAAATACATTGCTTTAATCCAGGAGCTTTCATATTGAATAATTGAGAATCAAAAAACTGAATAGCGGAAGCGTACCTGAATCCATAGGTGATTGATTTGGGGATTTGGCCTTATAGGTCTATACGATCTTGTACCTTTTCAGAGAACTCTTTTGCTTTTCTCCGTAACCTCTCTGTCGATAGGATGCAGAAGAGTAACTGATCGATGTCATATGACCTAGGGACCACAACCCTTTTATGTACATTAAA